GGGCTGGTTGCCTATAGAGCCAACCCTGTGATTAGAAGTTTGGAAGTTTCAGTCTTCTTGGGAGGGGAGAGGGGCTGGAGGTTGAATTCAATCACCAAAGGTATTGCAGACACCACTGCCCTGGAGCCTCCCATGCCACCAGCCATGGTAAACCTCACTGTGCACATTGCCATGGATAGTGAGCCCTTGGGCTGCATGTCCTTCAAGGTAAGGGACCTGGAAACCAAGAAGTGACTGCTCATCTAATCCATAAAGCTGTTTTAACAGATTGCAGCTCTTTGCAGACAAAGTTCCAAAGACAGCAGAAAACTTTCATGCTCTGAGTGCTGGGAAGAAAGGATTGGTTATAAATGTTCCTGCTTTCACAGGATTATTCTAGGATTTCTGTGCCAGGGTGGTGACTTCACACGCCATAATAGCACCGGTGGCAAGTCCATCTATGGGGAAAATTTGATGATGAGAGTTTCATCATGAAGCATATGGGTCCTGGCATCTTGTCCATGGCAAATGTTGGACCTAACATGAACAGTTGCCAGTTTTTCATCTGCACTGCCAACACTTGAGTGGTGGGATGGCAAGCATGTGGTCTTTGCCAAGGTGAATGAGGGCATGAATCTTGTGGAAGCCATGGAGTGCTTTGGGACCAGGAATGGCAAGACCAGCAAGATCACCATTGCTGACTGTGGACAAATATAATAAATTTAACTTGTGTTTTATCTTAACCTCCAGACCATTCCTTCTGTAGCTCAGGAGAGCACCCCTTCACCTCCATCTGCTCGAAATATCCTATAATCTTTGTGCTCTTGCTGCAGTTCTCTGGGTTCCATATTTTCCTTACTCCAAGTCTAGTTGGATTGCAGAGTGAAGTTTATGATTACGAAATAAAAGCTAAACAACACCAACAACAAATCACCAATGTCCGATCATGCTTATGTAATGAAGCCTCCATAAAAACCCTGTCAGAGAGCCTCTGGGTTGATGATCACAGGGAGATTCACAGAGAGCATGGAAGCTCCTTGCTCCTTCCCACACACTTTGCAGTATGCATCTCTTCCATCTGGCTGTTCCTGACTTATATCCTTTTATAATAAACCAATAATCTAAACTTTAGTTAATTTATCTATCTATCTATCTATCTATCTATCTATCTATCTATCTACACCCAGTGTGGGGCTCCAACTCATGACCCCAAGATCAAGAGTCACATGATCTTCTGACTGAGCCAGCTAGGTGTCCCTAAACTGATGATCTAGTAAGTAAAATGTTTCTCTGAGTTCTGTGAGCCACTCTAGCAAATTAACTGAACCTGAGGAGGGGGTTGTTGTGCCCTCCCATATGTAGCCCTTTGGTCAGAAGCGCAGGTGACAACCTGCTCTTGTGTTTGGCATGTGATGTGTGTGTGGGGGGGCAGTTTTGTAAGACTGAACCTTTAACCTGTGGGATCAGAGGCTATCTCCAGGTAGGCAGTATCAGAAGTGAGTTGAATTGGAAGACACACAGCTGATGTCAGAATTACTTGGTGGTGTGGGAAAAACCTCCACAACACACTGGAACTGGTGACCAGCATCTTACCTACTCTCTCCATGTACATTTGGGGCCTTAGACCCTGGAAACTCATGCAGAGGTGATTAGTCTCAGTATCTTTGTTTGGGCTTCTTTGAACTCAATTTAAGTTGCTGAGTCTGTTGGAATGAGTCTCAATAGTTCTGTAGGAGTTCATGCCTCCTGAAGTTATCAGCCTGGGAACACTCATGGTTATCATTACACACCATGCTGTTTTCTACCTTTGTGTCTTTGTATATACATTGTTTCTTCAGCATGAAAGTCTCTTTCTCTCTCTTTTTTTTAGTAACACATCCCACCACCTGGCAAAATTCCACTCAAACTTCTAAGAATCAGCTCAAGCATCATCTCTGAGAGCCTGCCACAAGCCCCGAGGCTGGGTCAGGGGCCCCCTCTGCTGGACTCTCATGAGCCCCTGTGCTCCCTTCTCTAAATCTGCACAGAGATGGATTTATTATAGAACTAGTAAAGCTTAAGCCTCAGCACCCCATGCTTACACAGGCTACTTCCGAGTCCCTGATAATTGAGTGCTGTCAATTTGAAGAGCATTTAAGATTTGTCACTGCACAAGAACAGTTAAAATACCCTGAAATTTTATAGCTCACATGTAAAAAAAACTAGATAGAGGTTCCCCCAAATTTAACAACAATCTTAAAATTTACCTTACTAATAACAAATTGTGAAGTCAAAACTTTTCTAAACTACCAATAACAAAAATTTGTATCACCTGAATGACATTGAATTCAACTGAATTCTTTGTATTCTCTCTAGAAAATGTTATTATAAAACAATTGTCGCATTCATTTAGAAGAGGGTATCAAGGAGCTCATAACCAAAGCAAAAATTAGGGGAGATGGGGCGCCTGGGTGGCTCAGTTGGTTAAGCAGCTGCCTTCGGCTCAGGTCATGATCCCAGGGTCCTGGGATGGAGCCCCACAGGGGTCCTTGCTCGGGGGGGGGGGGGGGGGGGAGGCTGCTTCTCCCTCTCCCTCTGCTGCTCAGCCTGCTTGTGCTCTCTCTCTGTCAAATAAATAAATAAGATATTTAAAAAAATTAGTGGAGAGGCGAGTCAAAAAATTGATAAAAATATTTTATTTGGGGGGTTTGAGAATGTTTATGGTATTTGTCAGTTTTTAAAAATTTTTGTAATTTGTAACATTTGTGATTTCTTTTATAAAAATAAAGCAATACTTTCATACCTAATTTGTACTATTTCTCTTAAAGACAGTTTGCAAAATTCTATCTGCTTCAGCCCTTTAACACCTAGATTCACCCAGAAGCACAGATCATTCTCTAGGGTCCTTGGCCAGTCTTGCATGACAGACTGTAAACTCCTTAGGCATTTGATCAAACCCCATTCGTGACCCAGCAGCATTCAGCACAGGCCCAGGCACAGAAGTTTCCGTACTGTTTGTTAACATGGTCTAGTCCAAAGTTTGCAATCCATGCTGTGAGAGGAAAGCACCTATGCTATTTTTCTAAGAACAGCTTTATTGAGGTATTATTTATGTATCATAAATTTCACCCATGTAAAGTATAAAATTCAGTGATTTTTAGTATATTTACAGTGTTGTGCAACTGTATTAGGTTGCTAGGGCTGCCATAACAAAGTACCACAGACTGGTGGCTTTAACAACAGAAATTTATTTTCTCAAACTTCTCGAGCTTCAAGATCAAGGTGTCAGCAGGTTTGGTTTCTTCTGAGGCCTTTCTCTTTGGCTTGCAGATGTCTACCTTCAGTGTTTACAGAGTCATTTCTCTGTGCATCTTGTGTCTCTCTCTATGCCCTATCTCCTTTTCCTTTGAGGACACCCATCATATTGGATTCGCGTGTACCTCTAAGGCCTCATTTTACCTTATTTACCTCTTTAGAGGCTCTGTCTCCAAATACAGTCACATTCTGAGGTATTGGGGGTTAGCTCTTCAACATATGAATGGAGGGGATGACACACAACTCAGTCCCCAACAGCAACCATCACACATCTAATTTTAGAACATCTTCATCTCCCCCCAAAGAAACGCCATTTCCCCCCCTCCCCAAGACCCTGGCAACCCATTAACCTATTCTCTATCTCTGTAGGTTTGCCTATTCTGTACATTTCATATTAAATTGTATCATACAATATGTAGTCTTTTTTGGCTAGTTCGTAGTGATGTCACCTCTTTCATTCCTGATTTCAGTAATTTGAGTCTTCTCTCTTTTTTACTTAGCCAACCTAGCTAAAAATTTGTCAATTTTGTTGATCTTTTCAAATAACCAACTTTTGTTTCACTGATTTTCTCTACTGCTTTTGTTTTCTATTCCATGTATTTTCTGTCCAATCTTTATTATTTCCGTCCTTCTGCTTGCTTTGGGATTACTTTGTTCTTCTTTTTCCAGTTTCCTAAGGTGAAAAGTTAGGTTATTAATTTGAGATCTTTCTTCTTTTTAAATATGGGTGTTTATAGCTATAAAATTCACTTTAAGCATTGTTTTAGTTGCATTTCATAAATTTTGGTGTGCTGTGCTTTCATTTTCATTCCTTTCCATTTGTTTTCCAGTTTCCCTCATGATTTTTTCTTTGACCCATTTGTTATTTAGAAGTGTGTTAATTTCCACATATTTGTGAATTTCACAAATTTCTTTGTTATTGATTTTTAATTTCACTCCATTGTGGTGGGACAACGAACTTTGTATGATTTCGATCCCTTTAAGTCTGCTGAGGCCTGCTTTATGACTTAGCATTTGGTCTGTCGTGGAGAAAGTTCCAGGTGCACTTCAGAAAAATGTATATTCTGTTGTTGCTTTTGGGTGCAGTGTCCTATGGGTGTTAGGATGCTTTTTTTTTAAATGTAGATTTTAAGGCAACGATCCCTGAGGTTGAGTCCTCTGTCCCAAGGCCTGGAATCTGTGTCTTTATTAAGTTCCCCACATTTTTCAAGAACCCATGGCCCCGCGCGACCTCCACTCCTGGCTTCCTTTGGTTTATTACATAGGCGTAACCGAGGTGATGTCATCCATTGCTCTGACAGACCTTTCTATTGCTCTAGTCTTGCTGCCAGGTCAGCGGAAAGGCACATCGGCGTTCTCAGGTTCGGCTTTCGGCTCCTTCCGCCTGGGCCGTGCTGCGCAGCGATTGGGCCTCCTGGGCAGCGCGTGGTCGGAGGCCGGATGATGGCAGGAGCTGGGGAAGATTCGCGGGCGCTCTTCGGGGCTGGCGTCCGCGCGGCGCTGGAAGCCTGGCCGGCCTTGCAGGTGAGTGGGGCCACGGCTAGGATAAAGGTTAGGGTCTGGGGCAGAACAGGAGTTGGCTGGACAACGCGCCTGAGGCTCCACCGGGCCGCATAAACAGCCAACCCTACACCTCCCCAGGCTGGCTTCCAGGCTGACGTGGTGGGCTCGGGCCTATGTTCGCAGATCGCTGTGGAGAATGGTTTCGGGGGCGTGCACAGCCAGGAGAAGGCCGAGTGGCTGGGGGGTGCAGTAGAGGAGTACTTTTTCCGCAATGGTGAGTGAATGTGAGGCGCTGCGACCTGTCTGTGGGGGCGTGGGGAGGAGGAGGCGGGTCCTGGGGAGCGCGCACTTCCGCTTGAACAGTTGTGGGATGGTACCTAACTAAGGTCGAAGTAGAATGAATACAGGCTTTGGGAGTCAGAATCTTGAGTTCTGATGCCTTACAGGCTGTGCCATTGACCCGCGGTATCACTCTGGACAAGTTATTTTACCTGAGACTCCGTTTCCTAATTCCTAAAATGGATATTAAAGTACCCATCTCAGCACTGTCCAATAAAAATACAATGCGAATCACATCATGTCATTTAAATTTTTCGAGCAGCCGCTTCAACAAAGTAAAAAGCAGATGAAATTAATGTTACTGAACTGAATATATGTAAAATATTTCAGCAGGTAATCGGTATAAAAGATTACTAATGAGATATTTTACATCCCTTTTTCGTATTAAGTTTTCAAAATCTGGTGGGTATTTTACAATTTTAGCACGTTCGCAGTTTGGCCTAGCCACATTCTGAGTGCTCAATAACCGCATTTGGTTTTTTGGACAGCAAAGATCTACGCCTTTGATGTGTCTTGAAGGTCATGTAAGAATAGGGGACCCTGTAGAGGGTCTTTTGCATATTAAGATTTTTACAAAAGTCTTTATTCAGGTATTTAGTCTTGGGGATGACATTAGGCAGAGTTCTCTCAAGGAAGTTTACCATCTAGTGATGGATCCACTTAAGTAAGTAGGCATTTACACTCGCGGTGATAGATGTTCTAATAAGGAGGAGCTCAGGGTGCTTGGGTAGCCTGAGACTGAGGAGGCTTCTTTTGGAGATTGTTCAGGGAGGTAGTGATTGGATTGAGTCTTAGGGGATGAAAAGGAGTTAACTAGGTGGGGGAGACAGAGAGAGAGAGAGAGACAGAGAACAAATAAGTTCTGTGGTATGAGAAGATTATGTGTTACATTTCGAAAGTGGCAGGGAGCTCAGTATTGGAGTAAGGGTGTGTGTGTGCACTTGTGGGTGTAAGAAGGGTAGGAGTGGTTGAGAATGAAGCTGGGGAGGTGGGGAGACCCCGGGAAGAGGTTAAGATATGGAAGACCTTACATGCCTTTGGTTTTGTCTGTTAGGCCAGCATTTGCCAAAACGTAGGCTGTGGAAGACTAGTTCTGTGAACTGGTCCTCAGTGAAGAAAAAGCTTCTCCAGTGGAATTAATGTAAGAACTTTTTTTCAGCTCCTCCTTAAGAGTCATAATAATCATTAACATAATACAAGCTTGGATAAAGATGAGAACCACAAAAAAGAAGCCTCTTTTCCTCTGTTTCCCATTAGCTTTCTATGGATAGCTTCCTTTAAAAACCAGCAGGACAGCTATTTCTGAAAAGCAGGATATGAAACACTGCTGTAGGTGATTAAAAATTCATGGGCCCTTTTTAAGGTGAGTAATGGGATGGGATTTGTTGACTAGAAAGTTCAGAAAATAATACGTATGGAGCATGGACTGGAGAGGGAAAGACTCATGAGAAGGTTATTTCTGTCTAGAAAATAATGAGGCCCGAACTAGGGCAGTGGCAGTAGCAATGGATTAGGGCCTTGGAGATTGTTTGGCTGTGAAGAGGGAGGGAAAAGGAGGCAGGTTTCTGGTTTGAGTCGCTGGGTGGATTAGGTGCCTTTCATGGAATAGAGGAACCCTGGAGGACGAGAAGTAGGTTTGAAGGGTAAGGTGATGAGTTTGGGTTTGGAGATGGAGGGCCTGAGGCATCTGTGAAACAGGTAGAGTGTAGTCTGGGTTGGAGACAGCTTTGGGGGATATTAGATGAGAGTAGTAAGGAAAGTCAAGGGAGTGAATTGAGCTCTCCCAGAGGGAAGGGAGAGTGAGGAGCTTTGTGGAAGACTCTCTTGAGTAATTCTCTAATTCAGAAAAAGTAGAGCATGGGCCCAGAAGGTAACTGAAGCCTAGAGGGGAGGGATTAGCCAAAAATCACACAATAGGATGTTGATGGAAAGGCTGTGATGATTTCATCATTCAAAGTACATAACATCCATTTTTTCTTACCTGTCCCGTTCAGTGGAGCCACAGTTGTGAAGGGTTCCTACATTTCAGAAACTTCAGCCCTTGAGTGATGGAGATTAACATGGATTATGGGTCTCTCCTATGTTAGGCATTATTTAGGGGACTCCTCATAACAGACCTCCAAGAAGGCCACCATTAGCCCCACTTTGCAGATGAGATAACAGGCACAGAGATAAGTAACTTGCTCAAGGTCACAGAGAGGAGGCCAGTTAAAATAGGTCAGATGAAAGAGGGTGAGTGTGGTCGGGATGCTGTGGGAATAAGAGGGTTTGGTAGGACGCAGGAGATTGGATATTAGGTATTTATATTTAGTGGGTGTTTGGTGGGTTTTTAAAAATCACGTAAAAACCTGGAGCACAGAGCACTACAGTGAATAAAAGGCTTGCTGTTTGGGCCTTTACCCACCAATCACATGTGGACTCACCAAGTAGGTATTGAATAGTAGTGGGCCGGAGTGATTCAGTTGGCTGGTCTTTGCTTTCCTACTCAGCTGACTTGGAGCTAGATGAGGTGGAGGATTTCCTCGGGGAGCTCATGATGAACGAATTTGATACAGTTGTGGAGGATGGGAGTCTGCCCCAGGTGAGCATATCGTGGACATAACTGCCATTTCCCTGCCCGCAGTCTTTCTTCTCCCTAACTGTCTGTTTTTAGGCCAAGACTCTTGGGTCTAACCATTCTTTTCTTAAGTCCTGCACAAGAACCTTCTGTGACTCCCTTTTGCCTAAAGGGAAAAGTCTCGTCTTCCCAGGTCTTTCCAAACTCTGCCTCTTCTTTTTTATTTCTCTCCATACAACATTCTCAGCCAGGTCCGTTCTTCACCCCCATCCCAAAGGCAGGGCAGGCCAGGTACATTTCCACCCCTCTTCTGGTTAACATTTCTCCCCATCAATTCCTGCTGGGATTGCCTTCTCTTTTACCTCTTCTGTCTTTCAAACCGAGTTCTAGTGCCTTCCTTGCTAGGAAGCTCTCCTTCCGTACTTTAGGCTCTTACCTGAGTCTTTCATACATGGTTCCTTCATTAGTGAACTCCTTGGGGAAGAAAAAGCCCCATTCTGTTCTGGAAAATCCCAAACCCCTCCCTACTCTTGCTGCAAACACGTGCTGGTTGTATTGTAGGTTCTCTAGGAAATCCAAGCTGGTTGAATGTTTTCTTGGTAGGTGAGCCAGCAGCTGCAGACCATGTTCTACCACTTCCAGAGGGGTGATGGGGCTGCTCTGAAGGAGATGGCCTCTCACATCACCCAAAGAAAGTGCAGGGTCAGAGCCACTGCAGTTACAACAGCCAGAGAAACGGATGAAGATGATGCGGACAGCGTGGAGGAGATGGAGGTGAAAGGGGTGCCCCTTGGGTGGGGAGATGCAGATATCTTCAATTTTCTGGGAAATCAGCTAGTTTCATAGGGAAATGATGGGGGGGGGGTATACTATCCAGAGAGGGCAGGGAACTTTCTTAAGGTCTCACAGCCAGTCCTGGCAAAGCTGGGAAGAGAGTCTGGGTCTCCAGTGGCCACAGCCAGCGGGTGTTGTATTTAGCTCTTTCCTGTATTTCTCCTCCAGGTCACAGCTACGAATGATGGGGCAGCTACAGATGGGGTTTGCCCCCAGCCTGAATCCTCTGGTCCAGACTCCCAGACTATTAAAGAAGAGGATATAGTGGAGGATGGCTGGACCATTGTCCGGAGAAAGAAATGAGTGGGGCTGGAAATGGTTTGGGCCCTTGCTTGCTAGTTGTTTTGAGACTTGTCTGTAGGGGTTTGGGGGAGGGTTCTGGACTCCTGGACTGGTTGCCCTATCTCCACCCTCTTCCTGTTCCCCTGTCCAGTTTCCTCCAGGGGAAGAAGAGCGCTAGGGTCCTTGCTCTCGAGGTAGTGTGACCTGGTTCACCACATCCCCTTGGGCCTTAGGTTACTATCTGCACGATGAGGCCTGGTTTCCCAGCACATTGCCTCTCAGGTGCGGTCAGTGTGAAGAGGGAGGGATGAGCGGGTGAGGGCATGACTGGAGGAGAAGCTAAACACTGGTTGACAGGGGCCAGGTGGATCTGTGAAGGGAGAGGGCCAGCAGGAGAACCAATAGCCCTGCTGGGTCAGGAAGGGTAAGATGAACTTGCAAACCAGAAGCGAGATGAGTCGAAGATGTGAACGAAAATAGCTGTGGTACCTCTCTTTCTTCTCCCCCCGCCCATACACACACACAGCAGCTCTGTACCCCTGGCCAGAAATTGGAACCTCCCAGGAACACTCCCTTTCTGCAGCTTAGCCTCCAGCCCTGGGTTCCTTCAGGAAGTCTAACACTTTGGCTAGGTGGTGAGCTTGGGGGACCTGGGCTTTGTTTTCTGGCTCCTCCAATCTCTTTCTGTACACTTATCCAAATCCTGGGATGAGGCTTAAAACCTCAATGAATAGTACCTTATTGTTTAATCTGTGACTTGACCCGTGAAGAGCCTTGGAATCAGCCTTTCAGGAGCCGGGCTTCAGAGCTCCACAGGGGAGCAGTTTCTGGGCACACCCTCACAGCCTGTTACTTCAAACAAACAGATGGACAGATGGAACACAGCAGCACTCTGAAAGTTTCCATAAGCCCGAAATAAACTGTATTTTTCTTTAAAAAAACAAAACAAAACAAAGAGTATCCATTGTCCTCCCCCCCATTCCCCTGTCCTGCCCTGTGGCCCTGCCATGGGTCTGGACGATAAAATACTGGGTAGCCTTGGGGCCGGGTGGAAGCTGTAAGCCATGGGAGAGGCAGGAGGGGTCTGGTCCCTGCCCTATGTAACGTGTGAAGACACTGGCGGAGGGGGCAGGGCTGGGCCAGGGCCGTAGGGTCAGTGGCAGAGCTGGCACTTGAATCCAGATCTCCTGCCTCCAGTGCTTTGGGGGGAATTGGGTGGAGGCAGGATCTGTAGGGTGTTGAGGGGATGGGGGGCAAAATGGCCTAAGTCCGGGGGGGGTCTAGCAACAGCTCCCACCCTTCCTGGGGACAGGGATTTTTAAAAAATTAACATCACTGTAGGAATTTTTTTTAAAGCCCATGTTTTGTGAAAAGATGAATTAAAAAAACCCAAGACCCAGCACTGGGGATTGAAAGTGCCCACGATGGGAGTTCAAGTATTGACTGAGCTGGGAGGGAGGGGGCTGGGGCCCCCCAACTGGACATGGGCAGCTAGGGTGTGGGGCAGGGGGCCCCAGTTCCTCCCAAACCCTCTAGGTCTTGTCTCGGGTCTGGGGGGCTTCGGAGGGTTCAGCAGTGGCTCCTGAAGCTGCCACCAGTGCCTCCTCCATCTCCCTGTCCTCAGACAGTGTGGGCCCTGGGCAGAACGTGTCCCCACGGCCTGCCCGACCAAGCACTGCCATCCAGCGCCGCTGCAGCTCCTCTGTCTCGGGGCTGAAGTACCAGCTCAGGTGGCTCTGGGTGATCTTGAAGACGTGCCTTCTGTCAGGCCGCTCCCCTGCCTCAGGAGGTCCCACCTCAAAGCCAATGAGGGGCAAGCTGCGCTGGGCTTTCACATCCTAGGGAACAGGACAGAGCTGGGGTCACGAGTCCGGGCTTCTCACTAGTTTTGCATCTGCTGAACCCTTCTTTTCCTTCCCCTGCTTAGGAACCTTCCGTGGCTCCACTGATAGCAATAGAAAAATGTCAGCTGAGGCAACTAGCATGCAGGCTAGTTCAAATACCTGTTTCCTCCCACAACCAAAACCAGTTGGGCTTGTCTCTTTAGCACATACCCAATAATGTTTGCAGGCCTTTGTCTCGGCTGTTGCCTCCACTTACATGTTCTTCCCTGCTCCAACTGGAGCTAGCAGTGCCTAACCTCCACTCTGGCTTCCTCCAGGAAACTAGCTCTGCCAGCTCACCCCGCTTTTCCCTACACATGTTGGCCCAGTCACTCCTCGTCTCTACTTGGTCTTTGTCTCACAAGGGTAGGGGTTCTGATTTCCCCTTAGCCTTACCCAATCCCCCAAGGCCAAGGAGAGGTCAAGGACCGAAGGGGAGGAGGAACAGCCTGGTTTTGCCAGGCAGCGGGAAGGACCTGAAGGAATAGGATGCACACCTGAGGGGCTCCGTAGATGTACAGCACCAAGGGTTCGTTCTCAGGGACCACGAACCATGCCTTATGCCAGCCTTTGCCACCTTTCTCCATGTAATGTAGGAAGCTGCAGATGACGCTGTTCTCCGCAGCCACTGAGGCCTGTTTCTGTGGCCAGAGACATGGGGGACATCAGTGTCGATAGAAGGCCTGGCTTGGCTCCTCTTGGCTTTGACACCCCCTCAGCATAGGGATTGATGGATTGATGAAGCTGAAGCTCAGATGGCAGGAGGGATTTGTCCAGTGCCCCTTGTCCCCCCGCCCCTCCCAGTGAGTGAGACTGGAGACCAAAAGCCAGGCTTGTCTGCTGAACTGCCATGGCTGCTGCCTCCGAAGAGTTGGTGGGGGGGGTGTCTCAGCAGGGGCACCTGGTTGCCGGGCAGGCATTCTTCCATCAGCCACGCATTCCTCAAGTCACTTAGGCCTTTACACCTCCCCTGTTCGTCATCTTCCATCATACATCCATGCCTTATATTTAGCAAGAGGCAACCTAGCATTGTGAAGAGGACTGGGAAGCTGGGTAAGGCAGTCTGGCTCAGAATCCCAGCTCGAGATGAAAATGTATTGACTTAGAAGGAGAACACACAGGTCCATTGTAAGGATTAAATGAGTTAATGTATGCAAAATGCTCAGAATAGTGCCTGGCACAGAGTAAGCATTCTTTTTTTAAAAAAGATTTATTTGAGAGAGCGAGTGCACGTGCACGCAAGCGGGAGTTAGGGGGCAGAGGGAGAGGGAGAGAAGCCTCAAGCAAACTCCCCGCCGAGTGAGGAACTCACCACAGGGCTCGATCTCAGGACCCTGAGATCATGACCTGAGCTGAAATCAAGAGCCGACCACTTAACTGACTGAGCCACCCAGGCGCCCCCAGAGCAAGCATTCTTTAAGTGTTAAATAAAATAAATACCTCAATTTGGTTAAAACCAAAAATGTGTGTACATGCTATAGCACAGCTATTAATAGTAGTAATCTAGTGGGTAAAAGGAATATGGTGTTTTTATTATTTCTGTTTATATTGTCTTTTAATTTTCTTCAGTGCACGTATCCTACTTTGTAATAAGAAAAGATTATTTGTTAATTGAAAAAACATCCTAGCTCTGCCACTCGCTGGCTGTGTAATTTGGGCAAATAACTCCCTGGGTCTCAGTTTCCTCATCTGTAACCCAGGGATAGTAATAGCATGGATAGATTAGTTACTGTGAGGATTAAACATCTAAAGCACTTAAATAAAAATTCGTCTTTCATTGACTCTTGCACTCATTTTACTCACTCCGAGCCTGGGTCACTCGCTCAGTGGATGCACATGGCACCCTAGCGTTTCAGAGATGCCCAGGCGTCAGTCACACTGGGTGGGTGGCTGGGGCCTCTGTGGTCAGCGTGGGAGTGTTAGTCGGGGACTGGCTCTTACCTCCAGGATAGACCTCCGGCGCTGGGGTGTATGCTGGCTGCAGGCCGGGCTGCTCCCAGGCACCCCATGCAAGGCCACGTAGCAGTCCGTGCACACACGGTTGGAGCGGTTGTTGTCATAGATGAGGCGGGCCCGGAACTCGGAGCACTTCCCACAAACCACCTGGGGTGGCAAGTGGGCAAAAACAGCCTGGTTCCTGCAGGTCTTTCCCTTCAGTGGACCAACTCCCACAGTGGACTCGTGGCCTCCCGCGCTTGGAGGGTAACCCACTCAGAAGTGGGCCTTTGGGCTGCCAGCCTGTCCCCTCCCTAGCTCTGCCCCTGCCTGCCAAAACTCACATGCCCGCAGGCCTTGCAGTGGTGCCTGCGTTTGGTGATGGAATTGAAGGGCTCCTGGCAGCGCATGCACATGGTGACTTCCTTTTCTCGGATGGGTGTAGGTGCCCGCTTCCCAAGATCCACGTTCTGGAGAGAGGGCCAGGTCCCAGGTCAGAGATAGCTACTCCCCAGCCCAGTGCAGCCAGCCCCTGCCCTCTGCCCCAAGGCTTGGATCATCATTGGGAGGCAGCACATACGTTCAGAAGACCTGCCTTTGAGTCCTTGCTCTGTCCCTACCTCACTGTCATTTTTACTTTCTGGGCCTCAGTTTCCCCCGTGATTTCTCTGCGGCCATACCAAAAGAAGACTGTGCTTCTGAGGTCATGCACTGTCTCTCTGGTCTTTACTCTCTGGGAAGGGGCAAGAATCATTTCAAAGTAAAATGGGGACTTGGAAGCCTGGAAGGGGTCCCAGGGCTGGGGGAGAGGGTGGGGACTCTTACTGGAGAGTTAGGGGGTGTGTCTTCATCTTCCCTGTTTGTTGAGTTCAACAGTTTGAAGGTCTCCAGCGTCTGTTCATGCTTCAGGAGAGTGGAGTTGATGGCCTATAAAGGAGGTTGTAAGAAATAAGAGGTCAGATCACCTCACAACGCACCCACTTCCACCCTCACCTCACCTTCCTGTGACAGTCTGGAGTCGGAAAAGTTGGCTTCTAGGCCAAACTCTGCCCCTTGCTAGGCATATGATCTTGAGCAAGCCCAATCCCAAATCCAGTTCTCAGTTCTTAAATTTGTGAAATGGAGGGGATCAGTGGTTGAAAAAACTCAGGTCTTCCTGGCCACTGTCTGGGCTTAAGGTTTTACAGGATTTAACTCACTGGGGTTACACCCTCAGCAGAGCCAGCTTTCTAAGGGGAGAATTTGTGAGTTTCTGTTTAACTCCTGGACCTCAGCTTGCTTCTCTGTAAAATGGGGATGGTAAAAAGTGTGTTGGAAAGCAGGTGTCCAGGCTCATTCTGGTCTGATATGAGTTTTAGGGGAGAGTCCACCAACCCCAAGGAGACCTGTTAATACTCCTCCAGCCCCCTACCACAAAGCCTTCTTGGATGTTACCTGGACCCAGTCTTTCTTCTCCTCCTCAGTCCTTGGGGAAGGGTGGGGGAAAGAAAAATGTTGGGTTAGGCAGGCCAACCAAAAGCAAAGGGAGTGGTAAAGAGTTAAGTATTTTGGAGTCAGACAGACCAAGGTTTTGACCCTCTGGTCCTTAACTTATTGTGTGACCTTAGGCAAGTCATGTAGCCTGTCTGAGTTTATTTACTCAACAGTTACTAATACTTTCCAGACCCTGTGCTAGGAACCTGCGGCTTAGAGAGGACCCTGTCCTCAAGGAGCTCATGGTCTAGGAGGGGAGATAGGGACATACAGGGGATCAGCACTGTGACAGAGTGAAAATAGGGCTGAGAAGCCCCGAAGAAGAGACCTGCCCCAGCTTGGAGTTTGGGTGGGGCTGTTAAGGAAGGTTTCTTCAAGGAGGTGCTGGGCCTCTGGTAGAGAGGGCTATGGGTGAGGTGTGTGTAAATGTATGGAACATACAAGAAACCATAAATAGTTCCCTGTTGTTGGAATGGCAAATTTGAGAAAGGGGGGCAGCTTGTTTTCCTTTAGTCCATTTTCTTCTCCATTTTACCTGGAGAGAATTATCAGTCTGGGTTGTTCTGAGCAGTAACTGAAGTGATATGTAAAGTGCCCAGCGCAATCCTTGGTCCACTAGGTGCTCAATCAGTGCGAGTTACCTCTTCCTTTTGC